GAGGTAGGTGTACTTGGCTTCTAACTTAAGGTCAACAAGAGACTAGGAAAGGAAGGAGCCTCCAAAGGGGCTGAGGGAATGAGCTCTGGAGCCTCCCAGACCTGGTTTTTATTTTCAGATCTACTTACTTAACGTGGATATATTTCTCAACTTTCTAAACTTCAGTTTTCTTTATTTGTAAAACAATATAATCTACCTCATAGTTTTGTATTTGAGAATTAAATAAAGCAATGCAGATTAGATTGGATTCTAAATAGTGTAGACTCTTGAGTGAAGAGTTAGCATGAAAGTGATTTTTAAGAAAGTGGACTTAGTAAAAATATTTTGTTCTTACATAAGAAAAGCAGCTACATGCATTTATTTTCAAGACTCACTGATTTGAGATTTCACCCTTTAAACATACAACCCTCTATATTGTTCCACTGATCAGTCTATTCATTCATCAATGTTTTAATAACTATAGATTTATAGTACATTTAATATGACAAAATGAATTCCCCCTTAATATTCTTCTTTTTTGACTATTTTGATTCTTCTTACACATTTGTTTTCAAACTTGAAAATTTATCTAGAAATTTTGATTGACAGTGGCTCAACTTACAGATTTAGTGAGAAATGACATATTTACATTTTAATATTTCTATCCAAGAACATGGCATTCTTCTCCATATGTTCCTATGTTCTTTTTGATCAATAAGTACAATTTTATAGTACTAATCTTATGGGTCATGTCCATGTTTGTTGGATTTATTCAGATGGATCTTATATTAATGTGAATGGGAACTGTTTATGTGTGTGTTTAGAGAGTTTCAATTATTTTGTTACACTTTATCCGCTGGTTCTAGCCTTCCCCGGTAGGGAATTGGCCTTCAAGGTGAGGTATGAATATCAGTGGGGATACATGAGGACTTTTCAGGCAGTACTAGAGCACAGTGAGTCTAAGGAAGTCATTTCTGCATCTTCCATAGGTAGGTATTACTCAAGGTTGACCTGCTTGAAAAGAGAGTGGGATCTGTTTTTGTGTTGACTTTTCTAAGTGAATTAGATTTTTATTCTTGGTGTATAAGAAGCCTACTGATTTTCTGCATTTATTTTATAACTGATCACTTTATTGAATTTACTGATTATCTCTGATAGTTTTCCAATTGGTTTTCTTGGGTTTTTGAGGAATGTAATGACAAGATCTGCAAATATGGGAAACTTGCCCTCTTGTTTAGAATATTAATGTACTGGGGTGCCTGGGTGGCTCAGTGGGTTAAGCCGCTGCCTTCGTGCTCAGGTCATGATCTCAGGGTCCTGGGATCAAGTCCCACATCCAGCTCTCAGCTCAGCAGGGAGCTTGCTTCCCTCTCCCTCTCTCTTTGCCTGCCTCTCTGCCTACTTTTGATCTCTGTCAAATAAATAATTAAAAGCTTTAAAAAAAAGAATATTAATGTACTTATTTTACTTTTTAGTTATTTTACTGTTTAACATCCTTACAGTTGGCCCTTGAACAACATGGGTTTACAAATAGAGTTTTTTGAAACATATAGTACAATCCTGTATGTGTATTCTCTCTTACTTATGACTTTCTTAATAATATTTTTTTTTCCTCTAGCTTACTTGAAGAATATAGTATGTAATACATATAATATACAAATAACTATTAATCAACTGTTTGTTATGGGTAGTCTTCTGGTCAACAGTAGGTTATTAGTAGTTATATTTTGGGGGAGTCAATATTACATGCAGATTTTAAACTGCATGGAGGTTTAGTACTCCTAACCTTTGTGAAGCTCAGAAGGTCAACTGAAAATTGTTTAGAACTTTAATTGGAATACTTATGTTCCACCATTAAGCTGTTGGTTTTATGACTACATATATTATTAATTTTATTGAATTTCTAAAGAATCAGGGTCTGATATTTTTGGAAATCTCTCATGATCATCACATGATTTCTCCCTTCGGTTCATTATGGATCAAATATATTGAAGAAATATATTACTTAGATTTCCTAATTTTTCTGAAAAGATTTTATTTATTTATTTATTTATTTATTTATTTGAGAAAGAGAGAGAGAAAGGGAATGAGTGAGAGAGAAAGTATAAGATGTGTGGCAGGGAGGGGAGAGGGAGAAGCAGACTCCCACTGTGCAGGGAACCCAATGCAGGGCTTGATCGCTGGACCCTGGGATCATTACCTGAGCCAAAGGCAGATGCTTAACCAACTGGGCCACCAGGCACCCCAGATTTCCTAATTTTTAACTGTGCCAACCTTTCTAGAATAAATCCCACTTGAATTAATTTTTTGAATTTATTTTTTATTGTGTTACGTTAGTCACCATACAGAACACCATTAGTTTTTGATGTAGTGTTCCATGATTCATTGTGTATAACACCCAGTGCTCCATGCAACCCATGCCCTTCTTAATACCCATCACCAGGCTCACCCATCTCCCCACACCCCTCCTTTCTAAAACCCCCAGTTTGTTTCCCAGAGTCCATAGTCTCTCATGGTTCATCTCCCACTCCTTTTTCTCCTTCGTTATTTTCCCCTTCCTTCTCCTAATGCCCTCCATGTTATTCCTTATGTTTCACAAATAAGTGAAACCATATGATAATTGACTTTCTCTGTTTGACTTATTTCACTTAGCATAATCTCCTCCAGTCCCATCCATGTTGATGCAAAATTGGGTATTCATCCGTTCTGATGGCTGAGTAATATTCCATTGTGTATATGGACGACATCTTCTTTATCCATCCATCTGTTGAAGGGCATCTCAGCTCTTTCCACGGTTTGGCTATTATGGACATTGCTGCTATGAACTTTGGGGTAAATATGGCCTTTCTTTTCACTACATCTGTATCTTTGGGGTAAATACCCAGTAGTGCAATTGCTGGATCATAGGGTAGCTCTATTTTTTATTTTTTGAGGAACCTCCACACTGTTTTCCAAAATGGCTATACCAATTTGTGTTCCCACCAACATTGTAAGAGGGTTCCCCTTTCTCCACAACTTCTTCATTTGTTGTTTCTGGCCTTGTCGATTTTTGCCATTCTAACTGGTGTAAGGTGGAATCTCAGTGTAGTTTTGATTTTAATTTCCCTGATGGCTAATGATCATGAGCACTTTTTCATGTGTCTGTTAGCCATTTGTGTGTCTTCCTTGGAGAACTATCTGCTCATATCTTCTGCCCATTTTTTGATTTGATTATCTGTTTTTTGGGTGTTGAGTTTGAGATGTTCTTTATAGATCTTGGATATCAGTCCTTTGTCTGTAGTGTCATTTGCAAATATCTTCTCCCATTCTGTGGCTTGCCTGTTTTGTTGTCCGTTTCCTTTACTGTGCAGAAGCTTTTTATCTTGATGAAGTCCCCAAAGCTGATTTTTGCTTTTGTTTCCCTTGCTTTGGAGATGAGTCTTGAAAGAAGTTGCTGTGGCCAGTGTCAAAGAGGTCACTGCCTATGTTATCCTATAGCATTTTGGTGGATTCCTGTCTCACACTGAGGTTTTTCATCCATTTAGGGTTTATCTTTGTGTATGGTGTAAAGGAATGGCCCAAAAATTAATTTAGAAATACCCTTAGATTCTATCGCTATTATATTTAGACTTTTCATGTATACCTACATAATTTGGAGTGGTTTTTAAAAAAATTATCATGGGCAGTATCTAATATCAGCTCTATGTCAGTGTCTTTAAAAGAATGGAGATGTTTTCTTTTCTTATTTTCAGATATGTCCTAAAATAGCATATGAAGTTTGATTCTGAAATCCCTGAAACAATTTAAAGCTGGCACTTTTTTGAGAAGTAATTTCTTTCTGACCATTTCCCTAATTTTGATCCAGGAAGATAGGAGAAGATGAATTGCTTTCAGCTTCTCTTATCAAAGGGAGTTGTCAATTATCACTTCAGCCATTAACTGAACCTGGAATTGGCTTTTCTGAGAAGTGATTTCTTTTCTTATGAGAGGACCCTCAGGGTGTCTATGCTTCCATGAGCTGCCTCCTGGTTTTGGGTCATGGGAACTTATTGGACTGCTCTCAAATCCATCCTTCTTTCTCCTTTTTTACCCATCATTGCTACATTACTTCCCTTCCTAAAATCTGGTTTTTATTGTCATGTTGGCCTGCTCATCAGCCTCTGACTCTAGTCTTGCCCCTGGCATACTTCCACTCCCCCAAATCTCCTTCCACACTTCCACCAGAGTCACCTTTTAAAAATGATTTTGGGGGTGCCTGGATGGCTCAGTGGGTTAAAGCCTCTGCCTTCAGCTCAGGTCATGGTCTTGGGGTCCTGGGATCGAGCCCTGCGTTAGGCTCTCTGCTCGACCGGGAGCCTGCTTCCTCCTCTCTCTCTCTGCCTGACTCTCTGCCTACTTGTGATTTCTGTGTCAAATAGATAAATAAAATCTTTAAAAAAAATAAAAATGATTTTGATTTTGATTGAAGTATTGTATATAATTAAAAGTATCAAACACAAGTTTACAGTCATGGATATGCTTTTTTTTAGGTCAAAAAAAGCTTTGAAAACTGATTTTTGGGGGGTTCCTTAGCACCAAAACTCATTCTGATGGCAAAACCTGACCTAAACTTAAAAGTTCTTTTGCATTGGAGGGCCTGGGTGGTTCAGTTGTTTAAGTGTTTGACTCTTGATTTTGGCTGGGGTCATGATCTCAGGGTAGTGAGATTAAGCCCTGTTTCTGGCTCTGTGCTGGGCATGAAGACTGCTTGGCATTCTCTCTCTCTCCCTCTCCCTCTGCTCCTTTCCCTTCCTGTGTGCTCTCTCTCAAAAAAAAATTTGTGTTAATTACGGAGTGCTGCCCATTATTATGTGCACATAATTGTGTGTTTATGATACAGTATGTGAATATTATCTTTTTAAAAATCAGAAAATATCTGAATTCTGAAATATATCTGGCTTTAAGATTCAAGATGAAGTGGGGTGTCCCATCTCATTCTTCAGAGACAACTCTTTAAATTCCTTTAGCTTTTAAAATTTAGCTATGTCTTCTGGGCTGCTGACATGCCATCCAGGCTGAGGAAGACCTGGCACCTTTGGACCCACAGCCACATGGGCAAGCATCAAAAGCACTCAGGAGGCCACAGTCATGCTGGTGGCATGCTTCACCACAGGATCAACTTCAATCAGTATCACCCAGGTTACTTTGGGACAGTTGGAAGCAGGCATTACCACTTCAAGAGCAACCAGAGAATCTGCCCAATTGTCCACCTTGATAAACTGTGGACTTTGGTCAGTGAGCAGTTGTGGGTAAATTCTGCCAGAAATAGGACTTGAGTTACTCATATCATTGATGTGATATGATTGGACTACTGCAAAGTTTTGGAAAAGGAAAAGCTCCCCAAACATCCTGTCATCCTAAAGGCCAAATTATTCAATGGAAGAACTGAGAAGATCAAGGGTGTGTGTGTGCGTGTATGTGTGTGTGTGTGTGTGTGTGTGTATGTGTGTGTTTCATCTTGGTAGCTTGAAACCAGCTGGAGAGAGGTTCATGCTAACAAATGCCTTTAAAAAATCATATTTATATTCATCTTTTAAATTTATTGATTTGTCAGTTTTGGATATTTTTATACATTGACTTTCTATTATAATTTATGAGGATTTGACCGACATGTTTCCTAATTGTCTTAGTCTGCTAGGACTGCCATAACAAAGTACTATAGACTGGGCAGTTTCAACAACAGAAATTTATTTCCTCACAGGTTTGGAGGCTGGAAGTACAAGATCAAGGTATCAGGAGGGTTGCTTTCTCCTGAAGCCTTTCTTCTTGGCTTGTAGATGGTCATTTTCTTCTGGTGTCTTTACATGGTCTTCCCTTTGTACATATCTGTGTCTAAATTTCTTTTTCTTATAAGAACACCAGTCATATTGGATTAGGGCCTAACTTAATGACTTCAATTAACATTAGTATCTCTTTAAAAATTCTATCTCGACCCGAGTCAAGATGGCGGAGAAGTAGCAGCTGAGACTACTTCAGGTTTCGGGAGATCAGCTAGATAGCTTATCTAAAGATTGCAAACACCTACAAATCCAACGGGAGATCGAAGAGAAGAAAAACAGCAATTCTAGAAACAGAAAATCAACCACTTTCTGAAAGGTAGGACTGGCGGAGAAGTGAATCCAAAGGGACGGGAAGATAGACCCCGGGGGGAGGGGCCGGCTCCCGGCAAGCGGCGGAGCAACGGAGCACAAAATCAGGACTTTTAAAAGTCTGTTCCGCTGAGGGACATCGCTCCAGAGGCTTAACTGGGGTGAAGCCCACGCGGGGCCAGTGTGGCCTCAGGTCCCGCAGGGTCACAGAAGGATCGGGGTGTCTGAGTGTCGCAGAGCTTGCAGGTATTAGAACGGGGAAGCCGGCTACAGAGACGGAGCCGAGGAGTGAGCTCACAGCTCAGGCTTACCTTGAACCGGTCGCAGGCTCGGTGAGCTCGGAGCGCGGCTGGAGGCCAGGCAGACAGGAGTAATTGGACACTGTTCCCTGAGGGCGCACTGAGGAGTGGGACCCCGAGGTCTCGGCTCCTCCGGGCCGGAGACTGGGAGGCCGCCATCGTCATTCCCGTCCTCCGGAACTCTACGGAAAGTGCTCAGGGAACAAAAGCTCCCGAAAGCAAACCCAAGCGGATTACTCAGCCCGGCCCCTGGTAAGGGCGGTGCAACTCCACCTGGGGCAAAGACACTTGAGAATCACTACAACAGGCCCCTCCCCCCAGAAGATTAACAAGAAACCCAGCCAGGACCAAGTTCACTTATGAGGAGTGCAGTTTCAATACCAAGGAGAGCAGCGGAATTCCAGAGGAGGAGAAAGCAAAGCACGGAACTCATGGCTTTCTCCCCATGATTCTTTAGCCTTGCAGTTAATTTAATTTTTTTTTCTTTTTCAATTTTTTTCTCTTCTTCTGCTAAATTTTTTTAAACTTTTACCCTTTTCTTTTTTAACGTTTTTTAACTAGTTTATCCAATATATATATATTTTTTCCTTTTTATATTTTTTTCATTATTGGTTTTCTTTTTTTTATTTGTTTCTTTTTTCTTTTTTATTTTATTTTTTTTTTCTTTCTGAACCTCTTTTTATCCCCTTCCCCCCCCCCTCACGATTTGGGATCTCTTCTGATTTGGCTAAAGCATATTTTCCTGGGGTTGTTGCCACCCTTTTAGTATTTTACTTACTCCTTCATATACTCTTATCTGGACAAAATGACAAGGCGGAAAAATTCACCACAAAAAAAAGAACAAGAGGCAGTACCAAAGGCTAAGGACCTAATCAATACAGACATTGGTAATATGTCAGATTTAGAGTTCAGAATGACAATTCTCAAGGTTCTAGCTGGGCTCGAAAAAGGCATGGAAGATATTAGAGAAACCCTCTCGGGAGATATAAAAGCCCTTTCTGGAGAAATAAAAGAACTAAAATCTAATCAAGTTGAAATAAAAAAAGCTATTAATGAGGTGCAATCAAAAATGGAGGCTCTCACTGCTAGGATAAATGAGGCAGAAGAAAGAATTAGCGATATAGAAGACCAAATGACAGAGAATAAGGAAGCTGAACAAAAGAGGGACAAACAACTACTGGACCATGAGGGCAGAATTCGAGAGATAAGTGACACCATAAGACGAAACAACATTAGAATAATTGGGATTCCAGAAGAAGAAGAAAGAGAGAGGGGAGCAGAAGGTATATTGGAGAGAATTATTGGAGAGAATTTCCCCAATATGGCAAAGGGAACAAGCATCAAAATCCAGGAGGTTCAGAGAACCCCACTCAAAATCAATAAGAATAGGTCCACACCCCGTCACCTAATAGTCAAATTTACAAGTCTTAGTGACAAAGAGAAAATCCTGAAAGCAGCCCGGGAGAAGAAGTCTGTAACATACAATGGGAAAAATATTAGATTGGCAGCAGACTTATCCACAGAGACCTGGCAGGCCAGAAAGAGCTGGCATGATATATTCAGAGCATTAAACGAGAAAAACATGCAGCCAAGAATACTATATCCAGCTAGGCTATCATTGAAAATAGAAGGAGAGATTAAAAGCTTCCAGGACAAACAAAAACTGAAAGAATTTGCAAACACCAAGCCAGCTCTACAGGAAATATTGAAAGGGGTCCTCTAAGCA